AAGTACTGCTTCTTTACTTACTTGTTAGGCATTTCCATTTAGATATTTTCCTTACCATTGCAAACACAGGCCTCATACATGAATTTGCTTTTTTAAAAAAGATTTATTTATTTGAGAGAGAGCGAGAGTACTTGTGCGCAGGAGAGGGGCAGAGAGACAGAATCTTCAAGCAGTCCTTCCGCTGAGCATGGAGCCCAACGCAGGACCTGACCCCATAACCCATGAGATCATGACCTGAGCCAAAACCAAGAGTCAGGTGCCAAACTGACTGAGCAAGCAACCCAGGTATCCCTGAACTTGCTTTTTTTCTCTATTTTTTAAATTAAATGCTTGATTTAGAGTTGATTTAGAATTAGATTAATTCTATTAATCTAATTAAATTCTTGATTTGAATTCTTTACATATTCAATTTATTTAACATATATTATTAGTTTCAGGGGTAGAATTTAGTGATTCATCATTACCTATCATACCCAGTGCTTAATGCCAATCACCTAATTATCCCTTTTCCCCACCCACCTACCCTCCAGCCACCCTCTATTTATTTCCTAGAGTTAAGAGTCTCTAATGATTTGCCTTGCTCTCTATTTTTTTTTCGCTCTCTATTTTCATCTTATTTTTCCTCACCTTTCCCTATGTCCTCTGTTTTTTTTTTTCTTTAAGATTCATTTATTTATTCAGGAGAGACAGAAAGAGGCAGAGACACAGGCAGAGGGAGAAGCAGGCTCCCAGGGAGTCTGATGCGGGACTGGGTCCCAGGATACCTGAATCATTCCCTGAGCCAAAGGCAGACTGGGTGATGGGCACTGAGGGGAACACTTGACAGGATGAGCACTGGGTGTTATGCTATATGTTGGCAAATCGAACTCCAATAAAAAAATATACGAAAAAAAGGCAGGCCCTCAACCACTGAGCCACTCAGGCATCTCTGTTTTGTTTCTTAAATTCCACATATGAGTGAAATCATATGGTATTTGTCTTTCTTTGACTTATTTCGCTTAGCGGAATACCCTCTAGTTCCATCCACATCGTTGCAAATGTCAGGATTTCATTCTTTTTGATGGCTAAGTGATATTCTTTTTTAAAAGATTTATTTATTTGTTCATGAGAGAGACAGGCAGAGGGAGAGGCAGGCTCCTTGAGGGAAGCCAGATGTGGGACTTGATCCCAGGACTCTGGGACCACGCCTTGAGCCAAAGTCAGATGCTCAACCACTAAGCCATCCAGGAGTCCCCAAATTGCATTTCCACCAACAGTGGAAGAGGGTTACCCTTTTTCCACATCCTTGCCAACATCTGTTGTTTTCTGACTTGTTAATTTTAGCCATTGTGACCCATGTGAGGTGGTATCTTGTGGCTTTGGTTTGAATTTCCCTGATCAAATGATGTGGATCATTTTTTTCACATGTCTGTTGGCCATTTGGATGTCTTTTTTGGAGAAATGTCCGTGTCTTCTGCCCATTGCTTGACTAGATTTTTTGGGTTTTTTGGAGGTGTTTGAGTTTGATAAGTTCTTTGTAGGTTTTGGATACTAGCCCTTTATCTGATAACACATTTGCAAATATCTTTTCCTATTCCATAAGTTGTCTTTTAGTTTTGTTGACTGTTTCCTTTGCTGTACAAAAGCTTTTTATCTTGATGTAGTCCCAATAGTTCATTTTGCTTTCGTTTCTCTTGCCTTTGGAGACTTGTCTAGCAAGAAGTCACTGTGCTGAGGTCAAGGGGGTTGCTGCCTGTGTTCTCTAGAATTTTTTTTAAAGATTTTATTTATTTATTTGATGCAGAGAGAGAGCACAAAGGGCAGCTGGAGCAGGAGCAACAGGCTCCCTGCGGGGAGCCCAATGCTTGGGGGCCCAATCCCAGGATCCTGGGATCATGACCCAAGCCAAAGGCAGACTGAGCCACCCAGACGCCCCTCTTATAGGATTCTGATGGATTCCTGTCTCACATTTAGGTCTTTTTTAAGATTTTATTTTTTTATTCATGAGAGAAACACAGAGGCAGAGACATAGGCAGAGGGATAAGCAGGCTTTTCACAGGGAGCCAGATGCAGGACTCATCCTAGGACCCTGGGATCACTCCCTGACCCAAAGGCAGAGGCACAACCACGGAGCCACCCAGGTGGCCCCCACATTTAGGTCTTTAATCCATTTTGAGTCTATTTGTGTGTATGATATAAGAAGGTGGTCCAGTTTTCCCAATACCACTTGAAGAAAATGTCTTTTTTTGTTTTATATATTTTATTTTTAAAATTTATTCATTTGAGAGAGAGAGTGCGCGCTAGAGCATGAGCAAGTGGGAAGGTCAGAAGGAGAGGGAGAAGCAGACTCCCCATTGAGTAGGGAACGCTATCCGGGGCTCAATGCCAGGACTCCAGGATCACAATCTGAGCCAAAGATGGATGCTTAGCTAAGCCACCCAGGTGCCCCGAGACTCTTTTTTTTTTTTTTTTTTATGATAGTCACACACAGAGAGAGAGAGGCAGAGACATAGGCAGAGGGAGAAGCAGGCTCCATGCACCTGGAGCCTGACGTGGGATTCGATCCCGGGTCTCCAGGATCGCGCCCTGGGCCAAAGGCAGGCGCCAAACCGCTGCGCCACCCAGGGATTCCCCCCGACTCTTTTTTTAAAATTGAATATTCTTTCCTGCTTTGTCAGAGATTAGTTGACCCTAGAGTTGAGTTGAGGGTCCATTTCTGGATTCTCTATTCTGTTCCATTGACCTATGTGTCTGTTTTTGTGCTAGTATCACACTGTCTTGATGACCACAGCTTTGTAATCTAGCTTGAAGTCTGGAATTGTGATGCCTCTAGCTTTGGTTTTCTTTTTCTTTTTCTTTAAGATTATTTATTTATTTATTTATAGAGACACAGAGGGAGAGGGAGAGAGAGAGGGAGGCAGAGACATAGGCAGAGGGAGAAGCAGGCTCCATGCTGGGAGCCCGACCTGGGACTCCATCCCAGGTCTCTAGGATCACATCCCCGGCTGCAGGCGGCGCTAAACCGCTGCGCCACGGGGGCTGCCCTGGTTTTCTTTTTCAACATTCCTTTGCCAGTTCAGGGTCTTTTCTGTTTCCATACAAATTTTAGGATTGTTTTTTCCAACTCTGTGAAAAGTGCTGATGGTATTATTGCATTGCATGTGCAGATTGCTTTAGGTAGCATAGACATTTTAACAATATTTATTCTTTCAATCCATAAGCATGGAGTGTTTTTCCATCTCTTTGTGTCTTCCTCAATTTCTTTCATGAGTGGTCTATAGTTTTCTGAGTACAAATCTTTTGCCTCTTTGGTTAGGTTTATTCCTAGGTATCTTGTGTTTTTGGTGCAATTGTAAGTGGGATCGATTACTTGATTTCTCTTTCTTCTGTCTCTTTGTTAGTATATAGAAATGCAACTGACTTCTGTGCATTGATCATTGATTTTATATCTTGCAAATTTGCTGGATTCCTGTATTGGTTCTTGCAATTTTTTTGTAGAGTTTTTTTGTGTTTTCTTCATGAAGTATCATGTTGTCTGTGAAGAGTGAGATTTTGACTTCTTTGCTGATTTGGATGCCTTTTATTTCTTTTTGTTGTCTGATTGCTGAGGGTAAGACTTCCAGTACTATGTTGAATAACAGTGGACATTCCTGTCATTGAAGCTTTTCATTATCTTCCCTGTTCCTTTTTTAAAAATATTTTATTATTTATTTATTTATTTATTTATTTATTTATTTATTTATTTGAGAGAGGAGAGAGAGCCAGAGAACATGAGCAGAGGATAGGGGGCAGAGGGAGAAACAGACTCCCCACTGAGCAAGGAGCCCAGTGCAGGGCCCAATCCCTTGACCCAAGGATCATGACCCAAGCTAAAGGCAGACACTCAACCCACTGAGTCACCCAGGCACCGCAACCTCCCTATTTCATCTTTATTTCACTACGTAAAGCCACCATCAACCCACTGTTGCCTTCATAATAAAGTCCATATTTTAATCAGGCATTAAAGTTTTTCCAGATCTCACTTTGATGTAAATTTCCAACCTCATTTACGCTGTTCCCTAAAATGAACTACTATTTTAGCCAGACTGACTTAGCCATTGCCCAGATGTTTATCTGATTCACTTCCCTGCCATCCTTTAAGACCTGGTGCAAGGCTTACCTGCTCTGGGAAGCTTTTCCTGAGCATTAATCAGGACCTAAGCATATTGTGTTATTTATTACCATCTTTTCCTGCATCTGCACTTGATCTTCTTTATTAGATTTTTAAAGGTTTTATTTATTTATTCATGAGAGACACAGAGAGAGAGAAAGGCAGAGACACAGGCAGAGGGAGAAGCAGGCTCCATGCAGGGAGCCCGATGTGGGACTTGACCCCGGAAGTCTGGGATCATGCCCTGAGCCAAAGGCAGACGCTCAACTGCTGAACCACCCAGGTGTCCCCTTCTCAATTAGATTGTAACCTTTGTAACCCTTTCACTATGTTGTGTGGCACGGTGTCTTGCACATCATTAGCACTTTCTAAGTGTTAGTTGACGACTAATTTGTTTTTGAGTGGGAGGCTAGGATATAGAGAGGGACTAGCCATAGAAGTGTATCCAGGGAGTTGAACACATCTCTGGAGGACAAGAGTCTATTTCCCTCATCTTTTTATTTTGGGAACCTAAGCCAGTACTTGACATGCAGTACCATTCAGCAGGCCTGCTTTTACCAAGGGTTGACTCTGTGACAGGCACTGTGCTACATGCTGAGCTTCCGTAAGGATTTTTTCTTTAAAGATTTTATTTATTTCTTCATGAGAGACACAGAGAGAGAAGCAGAGACATAGGTAGAGGGAGAAGTAGGCTCCCACGGAACTCGATCCCAGGACCCTAGAATCACGACCTGAGCCAAAAGCAGACGCTCAACCACTGAGCTACTCAGTTGTCCCTCCATAAGGGTTTGTAATTGAATGAAGGGGTTTGGGAGTTGTGCTTCTGTTTCTCAACTTCTGTTTGTTCACCTTTCATGCAGGTGAATTTCAGTGTTTCTGTGGTTGGCAGGTATTATGAAAAGAGTCCTAATGCATAGCCTGAGGTGTTTCTTCTCCAGGGTGGGTCTTCTCTCCAAACCAAGATTACTCCCCTGGTGTGCCACAAAACCTCCAGGTTGGTCACAGCTCTTTAAGAGCTCAGCATGTAAGGGAAACTTCACTTACATGATAGCCAAGAAGTGTCAAAGAGGACAAAAAAGTTAGAAGAAATCAAACCATGTTGGACCACCTAATGGTTCCTGGCAGGAAAGGTAAGGCCCAGGCTGATATCCTTTCTCATTAGCAAGTTTGAATCCCTGGGCTTACTAAAATTCTGTATTCCTGATGTAACTAACATGGCATTGCAAGGATTCAAGGGGGTACCTAAGGTAGGATACCAAGGGCAAATTTGAAGACATCTGAAGAATGTTGGTGGAAATGCTTTGTGATGGCAGAAAATATTCTCTTTGTCTTTAAGTGTGTTTTTTCACAGAAATGAGGTATTAAAGTAGGACCTTGTCTCTATAAAGGTCCAGGGCAGGTATGCTGAAAACCAGGAATCCAGAGACATCAGATGGCTTACAAATGAATAGTCCCCTTGCAGCCATGCAAACACAAATATACCTCATTTTATACAACGAATGTATTTTCTAAATCAAATTATATTTTAAAAGCATTAGGGAGGTGAGCTGTTTAAAGGAAGCCAACAGTGAAGCCTTTTGTAATATGATTAATTACCTCCTGATAAATCTGGATTTTTTCTTATATTAAGTTTGCCCATCTGTTCTGCTTTGTTAAGTAGACAGCACCAAAATGGGCTCTTCTCCCAGACTGTATCTCCCCAGGGGCATTAGAGTTAGGTTTCTGAATAAGTAAAATGCCAGAGAAAATGGTGGCAGGAAGTACTTATGCATAGTAGGTGCCCAGTATACACACACACACACACACACACACACACACATAAAATGAAGTGCCTGAATTTTTTTTTAAGGCTGGCCTATGTTGTGACACCGCTCTGGAGACTGAGCTGTGAGGAACAGTTCAAGGTTGATACCCAGCTTAAGTTTTCTTTTTTTTTAAGATTTTATTTATTTGAGACAGAGAGAGAGAGCGCACAAGCAATGGGGAGGAGCAGAGGGAGAGGGAGAAGCAGATTCCCTCCCTGAGACCAGAGAGCCTGATGAGGGGCTCGATTCCAGGACCCTGATCAGGATCATGACCTGAGCTGAAGGCAGACACTTAACCCACTGAGCCACCCAGGTACTCTCCCAGCTTGAGTTTTCACTCCTTACTTCCATCAGGATGAATAGTACCAGACATATAGGAAGCTTGACTGGACAGCTCTACCCAGATGCTGTAACAGTTGCTTAAAATCAACATGCTAAGGAATCTGAAAAGTTTTTTTTCAAATGTATTTATTTTTTATATTAACATATACTGTACTATTAGTTTCAGAGGTAGAATTTAGTGATTCATCAGTTGCATACAACACTTAGTGCTCATTATTTCAAGTGCCATCCTTAATGCCCATCACCCAGTTACCCCATCCCTTCACCCACCTCCCCTCCAGCAACCTTCGGTTTGTATCCTAGAGTTGAGTCTCTTGTGGTTCACCTCCCTGTTTTCATCTTATTTTTCCTTTCCTTCTCCTATGTTCATCTGTTTTGTTTCTTAAATTCCACATGAGTGAAATCATATGATATTTGTCTTTCTCTGGCTGACTTATTTCCCTTAGCATAATACTCTCTAGTTCCATCCACATCGTTGCAAGTGGCAAGATTTCATTCTTTTTGGTGGCTGAGTAATATAAATCCAAAATTTTAACTTTGCACCTGTTATGTCTTCCAAACTCTGGAGCCATATATCAAAATGCCTGTTTCCTTTCTCCCTTGCCTTTTTGTTATTCCTATAGCTCTGTATGTATGAGTGCTTTATATAGCTGCACTTTCCAGCCTGGTAGCCACTAGCTACAGGTGACTATTTTATTTTAAATACAGTCAATTCTGCTGTAATGCTTGTTTTAAAAACACAAATTTATTCCAAGGAATTGATAGGTCAGGGAACAATTTGAACATAATGCAAATTATCACGTTGACTTAGAAGTGATTTCGTCGGCGAGAAATACCAGATGAAAGAAGCAAACTGCACCCAGCAGAACTGACTGCATAAGCATACATAAAATGAACACGCACACACCCCTCAAACATCTACGGGTTCCCACAGTTCACTGAGCATGTTATGAGCCACACTCATCCACATCTGCTGCTAGGTCTTTCTGTGTGACACACAACCCTTCTTTCACCACTTCATGGTAACTTACAAGTGGACAGCCACTTCCATAAGCAAACTTAAGGTCTTTGTCAGGGCAAAGAGTCATTCTTCCTGTAGTATGTATCTATACATTCCTTAACCATTTAATATGTAAAACTGTATTACGTGTTATGTTAGGTTCCTTTCTCTTTTATGTGCATTACTGATAAAGTTTTGGAATGTGTGCCTAACCCTTTTTTTCTCATGAGCCCTGTGATTTCTTTTTTTTTTTTAATTTTAATTCCAATATAGTTAAACAACAGTATTAAATTAGTTTCCAGCATACAGTATAATGATTCAGCAATTCTGTGTATTAGTACTCTTAATGTTCAATGATTTCTTTTGTGTGATTTTGCATAGCATAAAAATGCTTCTGTCCTCTTATAGCAGAGGTGACTGTATAAGTTAACTAAAATTAAATGAGACTAAAAATTCAGTTCCTCATCACATGAGCCTCATTTAAAGTGCTCATTAGCCACATGTGGCTAGTGGTTACCATAGTATATAACATAATACCAACATAAAACATTTCCATTATCCCAGCACTGACCTATAGCTTGAGTGTTCAAACTGAAAGATCAGATAAAATGAAGAGCTTACACAAGAGCTCACTCTTGACCTTTCTCCCAATACCTTCTTAGGTCTACTGCTGGCACATCATTATGGATTTCTTGTCTGCTAAGACCATAACCCAGGAATCTGTGGGACACCCTTTTCCTCTTTGTTTTCCTTTCTTTGAGGTGATACTGCATAAATCTTTTTCTTTTGCAGGTGAAATTTGAAGCTCAGAAGAAAATTTTACAGAGACTAGAGTCTTACTTCCAAAAGCTCAATGGAGTCAATGTGACAACATCTGCACCCAGAGCTGAGGGGCTCTGTTGTCTTTTCCATCCTATTATATCCTCTGTAAGCTCTCACTTCCCTTTCTTTATCTACTAAGTCCCCTTAATAACTAATAATATCAGCCAGTACCTACTGGGCACTTTCTGGGGACCAGGCCCTGTGCTAAGTGATTAACATGTGTCATTGTCTAGTTTACTGTTTATAGTCACCCTGAGGGGTCGGCACTATCATTTTACAGCTGAAGATGTTGGGATTCAGAGAAATTAAGTGATTTGCCCAAGGACACACATCTAGAAAATGCCAGAGCTAAGGTTCACACTCAGGTCTAATTTGATGTAGAGCTCACTTTCTCAACCACTACAGTGTTAACCTCTAGAAAGATTTCAGACTTTGGAAACCTAATGAGGCCTCAGAGAGGTAGAACTTAATTTATGGCAGAGTTGGCAAACTATGGCCCTTAGGCCATAACTGTCTTCTAGCCCTGCTTTATTTTGTAAAGTTTTATTTGAACACAGCTGAGCACTTGTTTATGGACTGTCCGTGGCTGCTTTTACACTACATGGCAGAATTAAGTAGCTGTGACAAGGACCATATGACTTGCAAAGCTTAAAATAATTTGTTATCTGGCCCTTTCCTAGAAAAGTTTGCTAACCCCTGCTTCATGGCAAGATTGAAACTCCTTTTCACTATGGAGTGTCTGTGAAGTATCTTGACCTCAGCTATGGACTCTCACATAGGCAATAACATTCAAGCAAGCACATTTACTTGTCCTCATCTAGAGGACATTCTTACATTCCTTTTATTGCTGTTCTCTTTGGTTTCATTTGTCCTGTTGTGCTTCTCCTGCCCTGCCTTCTGCAACCTGTCATCAACGGCTACCAAAATAAGTCCACCTTCTCTGTGAACTGAGGTCCAGATGGCAATACAAAGACCATGGGGGTACTACCTGGGAACTTGGAGAATTCAGTTGAAGGCCATGACTAGTAGAAATAACAAACCAAGGGCTGAGAGGAGAGGGAAGGTGCAGGAACGGTGTTAGCGGGGGTGGAGAAAAATGGAAAATATGGCTGCCTTAAAGGAGAAGGATGAAATATTTGATGCAGAACGTGATCACAAAGTTGATTTTGGATGCTTTTGGGCAGGTAGTCATTGTCACATATTACTAGGAATCACAACCATCACACTTTTTTTCTAAAAGCCATATGTGGGGACACCTGGGTGGCTCAGCAGTTGAGCATCTGCTTTGGCTCAGGGTGTGATCCTGGGATCCAGGATTGAGTCCTGCATCTGGCTCCCTGTGAAGGGCCTGCTTCTCCCTCTGCCTATGTCTCTGTCTCTGTGTGTCTCTCATGAATAAATAAATATACCTTAAAAAAATAAAAGTCATATATGCTTGAACTCCAGTTGACACTTAGTAAATGTTAATGTTGCCACTGTCCACTTACCATTGTCATTATCATCATTTTATGCACCTTTCCATACTGGGAACAGTCTCCTCTTTATTAGAGAATTGCCTTTTTTTGTTGTTGTTTTAGATTTTATTTATTCATTTGAGAGCGAGAAAGAGAGAGCCATAGCATGTGTGGGGAGGAGGGGCAGAGGGAGAGGGAAAAGCAGACTCCCCAGTGAGCAAGGAGCCTGATGCAGGGCTCGATCCCAGGACTGTGAGTTTATGACCTGAGCTGAAGGCAGGTGTTTAACCCATTGAGCCACCCAGGCACCCCGAGAGTCATCTTATCTTTTCTTTTCTTTTCTTTTCTTTTCTTTTCTTTTCTTTTCTTTTCTTTTCTTTTCTTTTCTTTTCTTTCTTTTCTTTTCTTTTCTTTTCTTTTCTTTTCTTTTCTTTTCTTTCTTTTCTTTTCTTTTCTTTTCTTTTCTTCTTTCTTTCTTTCTTCTTTCTTTCTTTCTTTCTTTCTTCATTCATTTTCTTCCTTCCTTCCTTTCTTTTTTTAAAGAAGATTTTATTTATTTGTTTATGAGAGACACAGAGAGAGACAGAGACATAGGGAGAGGGAGAAGGAGGCTCCCTGTGGGGAGCCTGATGTGGGACTCGATCCCAGGACCCTGGGATCACGACCTGAGCCAAAGGCAGACCCTCAACCACCGAGCTACCCAGGTGCCCCACCTTTTATATTTCATATCTCCAGATCTCTGAAAACTAGAGCTTTCTGTGATAAATATGTCTTAAAGTAATTGGTAGAGGAGGTGAGTGGTGGTCAGGGAAATCACAATGGTATGTTTCTGAGACTTAATCCCAGTACCCATTCCCAGATTCCATTCCTGAAGTTTCCATTTGCTGATTTTCAATAAATCCACTTGAAACACCATCATTTTATATTAGTCACACTGTTTAATACCCATATGCCTTAAACTACAGTTCATTAGGGCAGGCACTTGGCTCGTCCTCGCCTGCCTATATGCTGAATTAAGTGAGTCTATGACGTCAGTGTTCTATTATTCAGTAACAAAAACAAAACCAGTTACATTTTATTTCCCTCTTAAAATATGAACAGAAAGCAGACCTTGTCATATTGTGCATTTGTGGCATGAGAGAAAATATTGCAGACTTGCTCTATTAGGAATAAGTTTTGTAATGGCTAGGCCAGGAAACAGGTTTTTGAGAAGTGGCCTTGAGCTTGAATTAGGTTGAGCTTGAATTCTGCATATGCCTCTGAAAAGAGGGAGTTTGAATTGCCAGACATTATTTTCTAAATAATCTTTCATCAAGAAAACCATTGAAATCAAATCCTTTCTCTTTTCTTTAGACAGAAACATCGTTTGTGTACCCTCTAACCATCTGGAGAACATCCCTGAAAAACACAGTCAAGTGGCCCAGGTAATGAGGAACAAAGGCTGGTTGAAGATGACCCTAGGCATTGCAGTCTAACCATAGTGTCTTTGACATTTTTTTTGTTTTGTTTTGTTTTTTGTTTTCCTGACGTTTTAATAATAGAGCAGCTTCTGGTGCTACAGGGGAGGAGGAGCTCTGTTCTGAAAGCATACCTTGTAACATGGAGAGAACATTGCCAATGTTTTATTTTAGGGAGGGTGGAAGGCAGGAGAGAGAACCTCATCCATTATCACTCATGTCAGACATCCAAGGAATTTAATAAGAAGGAAGTATTAGGAAAAAGAGGTACTGATGAGGGCAGCATAACAAATGGCCAAGTGTCTGAAATATTTGGAAGGCTAGTGTTTTCTGCAGAACAGAACTGAGGGATATCATGAGAGATGTAAGTGGTATGGCATCTACATCATGAGGTTGGCCTCTAAGACATTTTTATTTCCTTCTTTTTCATGCACCTACTATTTATTGAGTGCCTACTATGCGTTGGGCACTGCTAGGTGCTGGGGATCCAATGATGACACAGATAGGTATGGTACCTGCTCTTGTGGAACTTAAAAAAACAAGTCAAAAGCCTTGCTCATGAGGACTGAACAGGATTCCCAGCTGACACTCTTGTTCCCTGTTGGTCCTTACCAGCACCCACCCTCCTAAGGATTTAAGTTCCTGACACTTGGGCGATGCCTTCTAATAGGATACATCTTGACCTCCCAGATTTCCCTGCTAGGATGCATCTTCCTTTGTAGAATTGTTCTCCAGAAATCTTCCTTCATCAGCTTCTTCTCCCATTCTCTCAAGTGGTTTTTCTAAACTTTTACCTCTCAATTCCTTACCCCATCACTTCTACCCTTGCCGTAATTGTACCTAATTCTTCCCCGGAAAATTAAGGCCATCACATGAGAACTCCTTTAGCTTCTTCTCTTAACGTCTGCCATTTTCACTGAAATCTTATCCCTTTCCTCCTATCTCAGTGAAAGAGGTGATTGGTCCTCCCCCTGTTTAAGTCTATCCTTCCTCCTTGAAACACCATCTTGGACCCCTCTCCTCCCTTCTTTAAATTCTTGCTCCTTCATTGCATACCCTCTTTCTCCTGTTTCTGTACCTCCTTGTCTATGACTTCTATTGGCTCTTTTTTTTAGTTCATAAACATATTAAATGTCTCCCATCTTTTAAAAAATGTCATGGTTCTTCTGTCCTTAACATTTCATAGAAATTGATCTTGTCACAGTCATCAGTGACCACTACTATGCCAAATCCAATGGAAACTTTCCCTAACTTCCTCAACTTTTCTCTGCCTTTGACACCACTTCTTTTTCTTTTTTTTTCTTTTTTTTTACCACTTATTTTTCTTATTTCCTTCCTTGAAACGCTATCTTTGATTTCCATGATTCCTTTCTCTGATGGTTTTCCTCCTATCTCGCTGGCCACTTCTTAATCTTTCCCATGGGATCTTTTTCTTTCCTCCTTTGCTACTGTAAGTATTGGTATCCCCCAGGACTCTGTCCTTGGTCTTCTTCTTTCAAATATATTTTCTTCTTTTCAAATATATTCATGGGAAATTGTACCCAAGTATAGTTGATGACTGGAATGACCACCTACAAATTGATAACTCCTAAATTTATATTTGTATTCTGGCTCCCTCTTGAGCTTTAGGAGTTGCATTTCTAAAAGGCTAAAAAACTTACTTAGCTGGCCTGCAGAGCTCTTCAAATCAGCATTGCTCTAGATCAAGGTTTCTCAGCTTCTGCACTATTGACATTTTGAATTGGATCATTTTTTTTGTTGTTGTGTGGAGCTGTTAGGTGCATTATAGGACTTTAGGAGTATCTTGTGGGCCTCTGCCTACAAGATACCATTAGTTGTTACAACCAAAATTGTCTCCAGATGTCTCATGGGGGGTACCGTTACCTCCAGATGAGAAACACTGCCTTAAACTATCCTCTTCTCTTTCAGAATATGCTTCTTTTTTCTCACCTTAGTAAATGGTAGCACCATGTGCTACAAACATGTCATCCTACACTCCTCTGTCTTAATCCCCACCTTCCCCCTCAGCCACATCTGATCAGTCTCCAAGTCCTGTCAATTTTCCTTTCTAAAAATACCTTGAGTCCACCCTCATCTATTTCTACCATTATACCACCACCACCACCACTCTATTCTAAGCTACCATCTTCTCTTGCCTAAACTTCTATAGCAGCCTCCAAACTGGTCTCACTAGTTCCAGCCCCTACCTTGGCTTACTCTATACACTGCAGCCTGAGGCGTCCTTAAGATGCAAATAAAATACTGCAATCTTGCTTAAAATTCTTCCATAGTTATCCAATAGCTTTTAGAGTAAAGCTTAAATTTGTTACCTTTGCACTGGTGGATCTTCATAAGAAGTTCCTTGGCCTCTTCTGCCACATCCTCATGTGGTTTCCTTTTTCCATTCACATGGAACTAAAGTTATCCTGATAAGCTATCTCCCTTTTGCCTGAGGCTGTCCTTTCTCCACAGTGCCCTCAGTCTTCTCTGGGCTTCTGCTTATGTTCAAAGATTCATTTCAAGCAGTAGATCCTATAGAAAACCGTATCTTACTTCTCAGTCTGATCAGGGATTTCTCCTTTCTTTACTCTTATATCCCCCATTGCTTATCTCCTATTGTTACTCTCCTTGTTATACCATATTGTATTGTGCATCAATGCTTCCTGAACTAGACTGTGGAGTTAGCAGCTGTGTATTATTTAATTTTGTAGCCCAGCACTTAGCATGGATTCATACACATAGTGCTCACCAAATGTTTGAATGAATACCTCTTTTTTTAAAGATTTTATTTCTTTATTCATGGGAGACACACACACAGAGAGAGAGAGAGGCAGAGACATAGGCAAAGGGAGAAGCAGGCTCCTTATAGGGAACCTGATGCAGGACTCGATCCCTGGACCCCAGGATCACGCCCTGAGCCAAAGGCAGACACTCAACCGCTGAACCACCAGGTGTCCCAGAATGAACACTTCTTTGCAATATTTACTCAACTTTCTAGCCTTTTCAGCTTCCATTGGGCAAATTGTTTGCCCTACACATCTATTCAGAGGAATTCCTTTTCCCTGCAAAATCTGTATTGGGACCTAAGGTCCAAGCCAGTAGGTACTCAAATACAGGCTAGATGCCCACTGGAATAAAAATAATACCATATGGATAGCCCTTGGTTGTTCTCACTTTTTATTTTTATTTATTTGTATTTTTATTTTTTAAAGATTTATTTATTTATTCAGAGAGAGAGATAGAGAGAGAGAGAGAGAGAGAGAGAGAGAGAGAGAGAGAGGCAAAGATACAGGCAAGAGGGAGAAGCAGGCTCCATGCAGGGAGCCTGATGTGGGACTCGATCCCCCGTCTCCAGGATCACACCCCAGGCTGCAGGTGGCACTAAACCGCTGCGCCACTGGGGCTGCCCTTTATTTTTATTTTACCTTCATCTCTCTTTCCCTGTTCCTGGTAGTGACATTCTACTCCATTAAGATGATGGGAGAACCCAGTGTGCCCCAATTTGAGATTTAAATGTCAGCTCTTGAGTCAAAATATGAATTTTATGGGAGTTGACAGAGCACCAAGACCTAAGAACCAGTCTATAAATAAAATACTGTCAAAGAAATACAAGGACATAGTTTTAAAAGTCAGCTAGTACTAATAGGTTAGTAAGGAAAAATGGCACTCCTCTGCCCTACCCTTCCTTACTCTTTTTTTTCCTTGCTCTTTTTTTTTTAAAAAAAGATTTTATTTATTTATTCATTAGAGAGAGAGAGAGAGAGGCAAAGACACAGGCGGAGGGAGAAGCAGGCTCCCCACAGGGAGCCCAATGTGGGACTCGATCCCAGGACCCCGGGATCACGCCCTGAATTGAAGGCAGACACTCCCTGAGCCACCCAGGCACCCCACCCTTCCTTGCTCTTGAGTCTAACTCCCCAGAAACCACAGCAATTATTTTAGCTATTTCTTCTGGTTTTCTGTATTTCTAAATAGTACATGGTTCTGATGGATTTTACTTTATCAAAATGACATATTATTTGTTGGCTTCCAGTTACAGCATCTAAGAATTTCTCTCCCTTACTTTGTCTCTCTTCCTAAACTACTCTTCTTTTTCTATTTTTATAGCACAATTCTTGGTTAATATTTAGTGGTTATGTTGCTGTGACCACGTAGATATCCACTCCTGAGTCAAGAACATGTACTAAGATTTTATTTGCCCTTATTGTACAAATTTTTGTTTCATTTTATATTGTGAAGAATTGCAAACATAAAGGTATACTTGATAATGGTGTAATGAATCCCATATACCATTCTCCAGCTTCAACAACTATCAGTATGTGTCCAATCTTATTTTACCTATACTCTCACCCATCCCACATTCCACCAACCCATTTGCATTAGTTTGAGGCAAATTCCAGACATTATATCACATAAAATGTGAACTCAGCATGAGTTCTAAAAGAAAGAACTTAATTTTTTAAAACATAACCTCATATCTTCATTAAATCCAGAAATAAACATTTATCCCATAATATCATCAAATATCCAGTAAATGTTCAGGTTTGACACTGGTGTATCACATAAGTGATTTGAGTTTTTAAAAAAATTTTTTTGAAGGACTTTATTTATTTATTCATGAGAGACGCACAGAGAGAGAGAGAGGCAGAGACACAGGCAGAGGGAGAAGCAGGCTCCATGCAGGGAGCCTGACGTGGGACTCGATCCCAAGGTCTCCAGGATCAGGCCCTGGGCCGAAGGTGGTGCTAAACCAGTGAGCCACTGGGGCTGCCTCAAGTGATTTGAGTTTTATAGTTGGTTTGTTCAAATCAGTATTCAGACAAGGTCTGAATTTGATAACCTGTCTTTTCATTCTCTTCTAATTTATGAGTACCCTTCCTTCTTAATTTTTTTGTTCTTGCCGTTTAGTTTTTGAAGAAACTGATTGGTTTTCTGTGGAAACTCTTCTTCTGGATTTTGCTGATTAT